CAAACGGGGCAATGCATTAGAATGCTGGAAATATAAGAAGAATACATTTCCTTTACTGGCAGAACATGCTCGATGTTGTTTGTGCATACACATCTCCTCTACAACCTCTGAAAGAGTCCTCTCAGAAGGCGGGCAAGTCGTTACAACAATACAAACAAAGCTTCAACCCGAGATGGTTGACAAGTTGATTTACATCAAACAGAACTTTGACCAGGTGAAACTCATTAATGAAAAAAAACAACCCCTTTTGTAAAGGCTTTACAAAAAATGATAAAATAAGTTGTAATTTCACGGTAGGACAGTATATTTCTTAAAAAAAAAAATTATATTTCTTAAAAAAAAATAGTATATTTCTTAAAAAAAAATAGTATATTTCTTAAAAAAAAAGCAGCCGTGGCGCAGTGGTTAGAGTTCTGGCTCAGAACCCAGAGGTCCCAGGTTCGACCCCAGCTCTAGCCCAATAAGTGACATTGGTACGGAAGGAGGCGTGAACTTTCTGTTAAACGCTCTCCCGCGGTGCTCTATGATAAGACCGTAAGGACTTCTGGGAGCACCTAAATACATACAAAAAAAAAAAAAAAAAAAAAAAAAAGAATAAACTTATTTCTTTTCTGCTTGGATTTTTTCGGAATATCTCGCCATTAAACGAGTCTCGACTCGCCTGATTTTTCAACAACAAAATTTTTTCCCGTTACCGTTGTTTTTCTTGTTCTAATTTTAACTAATTTCTCTTTACAGTTGCCGTTTCAAATAATTCCAAAGTAGAACAGCATTCCACGTTTTTCGAGTGTTTCCTTTGTTAAATTTATTCAAACGCCTTATAAAACGCTATTACTTTTGCGGTGAACAGACGTGTTTATTTTTGATCGAAGAAAATTTTTAATTTTGATTTTTTTTGATCTTTTTTTATTTTTTTTTTATTTAATTTTGTTTTTTTATCAATTATTAAATATAGCAGTAACCATTTGTGAAATTCGAACAATGTTTAAGGAAAAGTTTGCGGAGTACAAAAAAGATATAGTATTACTTATAAAACAACAAGAAGAAAATATGCTTAAACTCATCAGTGCGAACGCTAAAATAACGAGCGACCGACAACAAAAAGCTGAAACAAACATTAATTACAGCATGGAAAAAATTAAACGATTGGAAAAGGATGTACTTGAAATAAAGGAAAGTTTAAATTTTAACGAGGAACTCATCGAAAAAAAGGTCAAAAATAATATTGAGTCTATTGAAAAAAAAAGAGTTTGTCAAAACGAAGCACATAAAAGCGATGAGTTTATTGACTTTAAAAAAAAATTAGACAAATTGAGGATCGGTCACGAAGAAATAACCTTAGGATTGATGGCATTAAAGAAAATGAAAATGAAACGTGGTCTGAAAGTGAAATAAAAGTGATTAAACTTTTTGAGGAGTCTTTAGGAGTGGAAAATGTAAGAATTGAACGAGCGCATCGCAGTGGACGCCGAGACGCAAAAATACCACGCACTATTATTATTAAGCTGTTAGATTACAAAGATAAGGTAGAATTTTTAAAAAATTTTTCTAAATTAAAGGGTAAAAATATCTACATAAACGAAGATTTTTGCTTCGAAACGAACTTTATTAGAAAAGATCTTAGAGAAAAAATGAAAATTGAGCGGCAACTGGGTAAATTTGCACTTATATCATACGATAAGCTGATTGTACGCGAATGGGTGTCTAAGAAAACAGAAGAAATCCCGAATCGGTGTCAAAATATTATAGGTTAGGGTTTATTAGCATTCTTTTAACTATTGATAACTATTTTATTAACTATTTTAAGTTTATCTATATATGCTTTACTTTAAAATGGAGGAAAACTTTATAATTAAATTTTTAGATGAAAATGTCGTACTAAGTGACGTCGATGACACTAATAATTTTAATCATAAAATATCTGAAAGCCAATACTATACAGTTATTGAATCTTCTCAATATCTTCAAAAAAATAAAAATAGTTTTTCAATTTTAAACATTAATATTCGAAGTTTAAATAAAAGTTTTGAAAATCTTAAATTTTTATTGGATGAATTAAAACACAATTTTAAAACTATTTGTCTTACGGAAACTTGGTATAAGTACTTATACCAAGTTTCCGTAAGACAAATAGTGCGCATTCAAATAAGTAAGTAATAATTCCGTAAGACAAACAGTGCGCAAATTGCGCATTTGTTTCACCACACTTAAGTGTGGTGAAACAAATGCGCAATTTGAACTAATTACAAATCAATTCATCAACCACGTCATTTTGGTATTGGTGGGGGCGTAAGTATTTTTATCCACAACTCAATTAATTATAATTTACGTAATGATCTCTGTGTGAATAAAATAGATTGTGAGTCATTATGCATTGAATTAATAAATAAAACCACAAAAAAACTAATTAGAAATACCACATATAGACCTCCATCTACAAGCTTAAAAGAATTTAAAAAATCATCTTAAACCATTCTTAACAAGTATAAGTAAAACCCGAAGTCATACCCGAAGTCATGCCTACTTAGTTGGGGATTTTAACATTGACCTAAAAAACCATGCTTCCAATAATAATGTTAACAATTTTGTAAACACTCTTCTTCAAAATAATTTAATTCCGCCAATTAACATTCCAACGAGAGTGACTAACAACTCTTCTACGCTTCTTGATAATGTAATAACTAATAGCTATCATAATAACTAGGGTTGTTCACGAAAGCCAAAGTTGAATTTTCGATTAAAAAAAAAGTTTTCGAAACTCTATTTTCGTTTCGGTAAGTTCGAAATAATTTTAAAGTAATTAATTTTGCATCGAAACGATTTTTTTACTTTCGAAGTTGTAAAATTTGCTTCGAAATATTTTTGCGATTTCGAAATTCTGAAAATATTGTCGAAATAATTTTTTACTTTCGGAATTGTAAAATTTGCTTCGAAATATATTTGCGATTTCGAAATTCTGAAAATATTATCGAAATAATTTTTTACTTTCGAAAATGTAAAATTTGCTTCGAAATATATTTGCGATTTCGAAAATCGGAAAATATTACCGAAAAAATTTTTTACTTTCGAAAATGTAAAATTTGCTTCGAAATATATTTGCGATTTCGAAAATCGGAAAATATTACCGAAAAAATTTTTTACTTTCAAAATTGTAAAATTTGCTTCGAAATATTTTTGTGATATCGAAATTCTGAAAATATTACACAATATTACTATTAAATTCTAAAATTTGCTTATATTTATTTTATTACTGAAGTTGTACAAAATTTTATTATAATATTTTTATAAATAATTAAATTTTAAAAGTTAACATAAAATAATACTTAAAATTTTTGGTGTTACGGCCAGAGAAAAGGGTTTAACTACCTCCCACTATTTTATAGAAGAATCTGCAATTAATTTAATAATAACTCATGGATCGTTCGCAAATCACCTCACATATTTAAGCCCAGCGTGGTTTCGGATTTTGTGACACTTTGGGGAGCTTTTTTATTTTTAGTAACAGGTTTTTTTAAATTTTGGGGCCTTAATGACTTTTTTAGTGTAAACGCTGTATACACTGGTTTGATAATGGCTCTCTGAAATGCCAGTCCTGGCTAGCCGTAAAACGAGTATTGCTGAGCAGCGCAAGTGTATTGCCGAAGCGTAACATCAGACATCTGACCAATATATGGGTTTATATGTATTGTTTGCACTGATAATTCCATAGACGTAGAGTTTTTATTTTTCCAGATTGGGCTCAAACAGTGGCGTCAATTCAGAAAAAACTTATAAGGAGGGGCCAATTTGTGAAAACAATTTAACTCTTCCCCCCCCCCCCCTTCACAAACCAAAATCATAACATTGAGCAGCACAATTCAATTTTGTTTCTTGGGTATTTTGTTAAAAACTTTACTTTAAAAACTTTACTTTAATAAAACTCTAAATATATAGAAAATAATACTATTTTTGCTACTTTTTAAAAGAAACTGCTACCAAAAAGCAAGGATATACTCACAGCCGTGGATAGGCTCCCCACGCTCCTTGTTAATTGGGGGGGGGGCAAATTTAGGGGGTCTTTTTCAAATTTTTTAGGGCCTTTTACCGAATTTGCCCCATGGACATCTGCTGCCCGGGACAAACAATACCTTCCCCTTCACCTCTCTCGCCTGATTAGATTAAGCTTCATGACTTTTTACTTTTATAAAATTATTTCTAGGGATTATATTTACCCTCACCAAAAGCTTGAATAGCCTTTTTGATAGCTTGAATAGCGTTAAAAAAATAAAAAGTTTTTTTTTCGCGTCGTTTTAATTGCATAAAAATTTCTTTTGAAAATACTTTTTTTATTTCGAAAACACAACGTTTAAAAATCAAAGTAAATTTGAAAGAAAAGTTGCGTAACTTTAGACACTTTAGAAGAGTCTGTAAGGAATTTTATTTTTAATATCTGTAAATTTTTAAAAATAAAGTAGAAGGTCAGCTTAAAAAAATTAGCAAAAACTAAATTATTTTTTGAATTTTTCTCTAAAATCCTATAAGGATTATATGGTTAAACAAGAAATATAGAATTTTGACAGTCCCTTCTAAGAACGCATAGTTTACAGCACGCACATAAGTCATTATTATTCCTCAACGGCAATTCCCTTGAGGTCTTAAACGCATGACATGAAATCATTGTTGCAATGTAAACGGCTAATTACTTTCTAGTGGTTATTTAGAGATTTGCAACGGTTTCAAATCGACTTATGCCTTTGCGATTTTTGTGTTACATAATTCTAAAAATGGTGTAATTTTATATTAAAGTTATAACAATCTCATTAATATCTCGGAAACGTAAGTGAAGTAACATGTGGTACAAATTTATTTTATCATAAGTTACTAATTTGTTAATATTTGTTACATAAGAACGAGTAAAAAAACTACTCGCTTTTTAGTTTGAATAAACAATGTCAAAAACAAATAAATCCGTTATTAAGAAAGGAATAAGAAAACGAAGCTTCGTTTGGACATATTTCGAAATGGACCAAAAGAATCAAACAAAATGCAGCATATGTTATAAGATTTTACCTTACAACAGTTCGACCAGTTCAATGCAATCCCATTTATCAATTGATCATTGCATTAATTCTAAAATATCTAAAAAATCAACAACTTTACTCAACGATGACGATATATCCGATATTGAGAGCGGTAATGAGAATGGTTTTGAAGAGACTGGTCATAAAAAATTAAACAGGTTATTGGTGAATTTTATTGTTAGTACCGATCAGCCGATTTCGATAGTACGTCATCCAAACTTTGTAAACTTAGTTAGTGAGTTAAACAAAAGCTACAAAATGCCTTGCATAAATACGGTGAGCAAGAAATTAATTCCATCAATTACGGACAATCTTAAATCAATTTTAATGCTAGAATTGAAGGGATGTCGTTTCATTACAATTACTTGTGATAGTTGGTCATCATTAGGTAAAAACAGCTACCTCGGTGTGACTTGTCATTTTATTGACAAAAATATGACTCTAGTTGACCGAAACCTAGATCTTAAGTTTATGTCTGAAATGAAAACAGCTGAATATTTATTTAATACGTTAAACGAAATCTTCAGTGAATGGTCAATCAATAATAAGATTTTTGCACTAGTTACTGACTTAGGTGCAAATATTTTCTCTGCAGTAAATAAATTTGATGATAATGTTCTTAAGATTCCGTGTGCTGGTCATCGTTTGAATCTCGTGGTTAATGATCTTCTAAACACACGAGATATAAAAGTAAAAAAATTTAAAAATGGGTCAAAGCGTTACCAAGTAAAAGATTACGACGGTAATGGAAAACTAATTAATAGAGAAATTACAGAAAGTGAAGTTAAAGAAATTGAAAAAATTAACGAAGGCAAATTAGAAATCGCCAAGGTAATTTCATCCTGCAGGCACATTGTTGGTTCATTTAAGCATTCAGAGATGTTACAAAAGAAGTTCAAGAAACACTTCGTTATGAAACTAAAATAAAGTTAGTACAGGATATAGCTATTCGCTGGAATAGCCAATTCGATATGATTGAATCTATATTAACAAATAAAACTGCATTGGATATGATAAGCATCGAATTCCAAAATATAAAAGACTATCTTCCCACTGCTACTGAATTTAAGGTGCTGGAGGATTTGTGTGATTTGTTACACCCAATTAAAGAGCTAACAAAATTTTTTAGCGGAAAGAAATATGTTACAGTAACATTCCTGTTTCCAACACTGTATTCTCTACTAAATGAAATACTTGAATCGCAACCTATTTTTACAGAACTAGTTAAGACTTTTCAAAAGGAGTTATTAAGGTCTCTAAAAGGACGTTTTAAATACATTTTTGCTAGTGATTTTTTTTTAGCAGCTACTTTTCTTGATTTCAAATTTCGTAAATTCGAGTTTATCAAAAATGATATCTATAGATATGAATGCATTTCAAAGGCAAAAATGTTTATAAAAACATTTTATGAAATGCATCTAAAAGAAACCGAAGAAATCGATATAACAATTGAAACAAATTGTTTAAATAACACTTTAAACTCGTCAAACAGCTCAGCTGACAATACCATAAAAACATTTCAGCAATTGTCAACGTCACCTATTGCAAATAATATTACTTTAGTTAACAACAAAAGACGAAAGTCAATCAACTTAATTGAACTAGTAACAGATAAATCTTGTTGTAATTTAATTGAGAGCAATGATAAACTTGAAAAAGAAATAAATGATTACAGTCTGCAATACTTTCATAGCTACGAAAATAGTGACATTGAATTTTTCCAAGCTAATCAAAAATTGTTCCCGGTTTTGACACAAATTGCACGGATAATATTTTCAGTTCCAGCGACATCCGTGCCATCAGAATGCTTATTTAGTTCAACCGGTTTAATAGATACGGAGCTACGGAACAGGCTTGCGCCAAGCTTATTGAAGCAGTTAGTTTTTATTAAAGAAAACAAGTAATCAAAAACATTTCTTTATTAAAATAAAAAAAATTATTTAGTAAAAGTGTATTTTATAAATCTTAGTAATTTAAAGCACTTGTATTCTTTTTTTTTTATCTGATGAACTTTTTTACAAACAGCTTAATTAATGACAATATGTTTTCTGCTACATTCTTTTCAATTCTGGAAAAAACACCAATATCCAATGATTGAGCTGCCATCAGGGCAGGTGCAAGTAGGTGTGACGTGGTGGGGTGTCATTAAAATTTTTGTTGAGTAAAAAATTAGGTTCTTGTTTTTTGAAGTTCGACGACTGACCTGTCTAAAAGGTCTACATTTGCCGACTTCTTTAAAAGGGTTATTTTTGCCGACTAAATGCACAAAAAATGCATTTAGGAAGGTGTGTGTGTAAATGATTCGTAAATTTAAATAATCTTTCCCCGTTATTGAATGGTTTAGAATTTGTAACTAAAGAGGACTAATTTCATAGCTTGTAGCAGTAGCATTTACTGTTATGATATTGCCCTTTTTTAAGAAATCTTGTTGTCCAAACAACTAATTATAAATTGGATTGTTTTATCTTTCCCTAACTTGACGAAAATCTTTATGAACAAAAAAGTGATTAGAAGAGAGTCTTTTTTTAACTTTCTAGGAGTGATTATAGATGAAAATATATCATGGAAATATCATATTAAATCTATTGAAATTAAAATATCCAAAAATACTTCAATGCTATATATAGTTAAACCTTAACTTTATTTAGCATAAAAAATATATAATTTTCTTAATACGGAGTCTTTGAAAATTATATATTTTTCATTTAGGGAGAGTGGGGCAAAGTGGGTCGAATTTCTTTCTTTTTTAATTTGAGTGAAAGTTAAAATATATATTTTATGTTTGTCAAAGCTAAAGGATTGAGAATATGTCCTTCATGATAAGAAATAACTAAAATCTAAATATATATTATCTAACAGCTCACAGAAAGGTTTAAAGTGAGTTTTGTTAAGTGATTCACTGTACCCCAGTACTGGGGTACAGTGAAACAATTAACTCATTTGCAATTTAGTGGTAGTTAATGGGGGCGTAGCCAAATAATTTTGAGGATGAGGGTGTAAATACATTGTACACTATACTTTTGGTGCACTTTTGGTGCACCAAAAGTATTTTATTTAACTAATATTAAATAATTTAAATTTTTTCTGATTGACAAAATAAAGAATAAATTTTATTGATAACAAAACTTATTCAACCATCTAAAATCACAAAAAAAAAATTATTTAATAAAACTTATTTAACCAACAACACAAGAAATTTTTTAAAGTGAATTTTTAATTTTTATAAACATTTTTATCACAGTGAATTAACCGTTTCACGGTACCCCGATTCATTGTGCCCCACTATAAAAAATAAGGTTCAAGTTTAATTTCTTGGGGCATGAGTTTTATTAAAGGAAAAGCAAAACTACTAAAATGAACCATAAAGATCAGTATTCCGAACATAAAACTTTAACTTATGAAATGATTTTAACCATGATCTCCACAACAAACATAAAGATGGTAAGAGCATTTACTTTAGTTAGCTAAAAGCATAAATTACCTACCTAAAACCGAGAGTCAAAAATTATGTGGTAACACCTATAAATAAAGATGGGTGATATATGCGCACATAAACTTATTACATCATCGTGATGAACAAAATCATAATCTTTGAAAAAATGCTTCTTATTCACTGTGCCCCTCAATCCACTGTACCCTGACTTCCCCTATTCATAGTTTTTTTATTTATAAACTTAATATATACCAAGTTATGCTTTTTACGTTTAAATCAAAACATGCGTTATCTCCTTATATATTTCACTCTTACTTTGCAGAAATATCTCATTAATACCCATCTGATAATTTTGTAATTCCAAGATCATAATTAATACTCAATTCATTTCAAATTCAATACCGTGGACCATTTATATGGAAAAGTTTTTAAAAAAACATTATTAAAAATAAAATTCTTCTAAGAGCAATTCTAAGAACATCTCCTTAGAATAATTCGAAAGAGAATCTAAACGTTTTCTATAAGAAAAAAATTTCAATATTTCTTTTAATATTTCTTTTAATAAGTTCGAAATTAATTTAGCTTACCAAATATCTATTGGTTTTTTCTCGAAATTAATTGCACACTTCGAAACTCTTTTTTTTCTTTCGAAATTAATTTGACTTTTCAAAATACATTTTTTTTTTTCGAAGTTAATTTGACTTTTCAAAACTCTTTTTTTTCTTTCGAAATTAATATCACTTTTCGAAATACATTTTTTTTTTCGAAATTAATTTCACATTTCGAAATTCTTTTTTTCCTTTCGAAATAAATTTCCTTTTTCGAAATCCAGCTTTTTATTTCGAAATTAATTTCACATTTCGAAATTCTTTTTTTCCTTTCGAAATTATTTTCCTATTTCGAAATCCACCTTTTTATTTCGAAATTAATTTCACATTTCGAAATTCTTTATTTCCTTTCGAAATTAATTTCCTATTTCGTAATCCACCTTTTTATTTCGAAATTCATTTCACATTTCTAAATTACTTTTTTTTTTCGAAATTAATATGGCTAGTTCGATTATTATCGAAAGTTTTTTTAGATTTCGAAAAAAAAGAAGTATTTCGATAACGTTTTAATCTAAAATTTTCGAAAATTGCAATTTCGATAATGAACCCTAATAATAACCATCTTTACACAGGCATAATCAAAACTGACTTATTGGATCATTTCCCGACATTCCTAGTTACTAACAATATATTATTTAACGGTGTTCCTTCTCAATCCATTACATTAATCCATTACAGATTAATAAAAACTTGGTAAAACTATTTCAAAATCTTTTAAGAGACAAAGTTGATTGGGATCTGGTATTGCAGTCACATGGTGTTAACAACGCATATGATCTATTTTTAAATCAATTCTGTAAGCAATATGATCAAGCATTTCCTGAAAAAAAATTATTGTAAAAACCAAAACTGTTTTAACTCCATGGATGTCTAACGGGTTAATAAAATCTTCAAAAAGAAAACAAAAGTTATATGATAAGTACTTGAAAAAAAAACTTATAAAAACGAAATGACATATAAAAGTTATAAAAATATATTTGAAAAAACAAAAAGGAACTCAAAAAAGCTTTATTATGCAAAACTATTAAGTAAAGCCACCGGAAACGCTAAAAAAACATAGAGTGTAATTAAAGAAATAATCGGACAAAAATAATTATCCAAGAAACAATCTTCCAAAAAAAATAGCAATTGATAAAAACACAATTTGTGAAAAATCAATTATTGCTGAAAAACTAAACAGCTTCTTTACTAATGCAGGTCCGAATTTGGCATTAAAAATTCCTATGAATTCAACACCATTTGAATCTTTTTTAAAAAATTACGATAAAGTTATGGATGAACCTAAGTTAAAACTAATTGATTTGCAAACCGCCTTTTTTTACCTTAAAACTAACAAAAGTGCTGGATTTGATAAAATTAACGCCAATATTGTAAAATCAGTATATAATATAATAGAACCCTCGTTATTTCACATATTTAATCTATCATTTAAAACAGGTATTGTCCCTGAAAAGCTAAAAATTGCACGAATCACGCCAATATTTTAGTCCGGATGACTCAAATATTTCTAATTATAAGCCTATATCTATTTTACCTTGTTTTTCAAAATTACTTGAGAGAATAATGTACAATAGGCTTTTTAATCACTTATCAGAAAACGACATGTTGTATTCAAAACAATTTGGTTTCAAAAAAAAAATTCAACGGAGCATGCAGTGGTTGAACTAGTAAATTAAATATCAAATGCATTCAGTAGTAACTACTTTACCTTAGAAGTTTTCATTGATCTGTCAAAAGCTTTCGATACCGTTAATAATAACATACTAATAAAAAAACTTGAACACTATGGAGTAAGAAATAACAATTTACTTTGGTTCAAAAGTTATTTGACCGATAGAAAACAATTTATAGTGTATGAACAAAAGCAAACATTGCTGTCTGCTATAACTTGTGAGGTCCCCAGGGCTCTATTTTAGGATCTCTGTTGTTCCTAGTGTACATTAATGATTTAAATTTAGCAACAGACCTATTAAATTGTATTCTTTTTGCAGATGATTCCAATCTTTTTTATTCCCACAGAGATATCAATACACTATTTAAAAACAACAAACGAACAATTATCGAAAGTTAATGAGTGGTTTAAAAGTAATAAACTTTCTCTGGATGTGGATAAAACCAAATTTATTTTGTTCCACAAAGTGAATAATTCAAAAAATATTCCCATCAAATTGCCTAATTTAATAATCAATAACACTCACATTAAAAGAAAAAACTCAGTAAACTTTCTAGGCGTAATCTTAGATGAACATTTACGTTGGAATTTACACATAAAAAGTATTGAAAATAAAATATCAAAAAATTTAGCAATGATATATAGGACTAAACCATTTTTAAACAATAATTCTTTAAAAAGTTTATATTTCTCTTTTATTCATTGTTACTTAATTTATTGCAATATTGCATGGGCAAATACAAACCATACAAAATTAGAAAAATTGTACTGCAAACAAAAACACGCGTGCAAAACAATATTTGGAGCCGACAGAACTGTACCTTGTGAGCCTCTTCTGCGTATACTTGGAGCACTAAATATATATAAAATCAACTTACACCAAGTTTTAATGTTCATGTATAAAACAAATATAGGATTATCTCCTAAAATATTTCAATCCTATTTTGACAAAATAGTTCATAAATATCCAACAAAATTTTCAAATAACAACTTTGTTGTCCCAAAATATAATTCAAAACTAACTTCATATTCAGTTCTTTATCGTGGACCTTACTTGTGGAAAATATTTCACAAGATTGTAAATACACATAAAACTAGTATAAAACAATTTAAAAATGAATCAAAACAGGCATTCTTACTCATGGATTTTAATATATCTGATT